AGAAAAGCTCTCAATTTGGAGCAAATGAGTATCGCTTAGGCTGCTGCAGTTTGTGTCAAAAATAAGCATGAATATGATTGAAAGCTGATTTTGGAACTTACCCATTGCTTTCCTTTTAGCACAAAAAATATGCATGTGAAAAATACATCCTAATTATCTTAAACTATTGGAAAGATAGTTTAAGGGTGGGGGGGGGAAGTATTTCATCTGCCTTTCCAGATATGTAACATATAAGCATCTATGTGGCTGTTTCCAGTGCTGCTGCTTTGAACCTCACTGTTTACTTCTAACAAGTTAGATGATATTCTCTGAAGCGTGAGAACCCAGTTTTTTTCCTGTTCTCCATGACTTGACCACACAGTTTGGGGTTTAGTAGTTAAAATATAAACCTGACTCAAAACTTTATATTCTGAATTTTTTTTTTTTTTCTAAGAGCCAGGATCTACAAAAAGCATCTTTTATGGATTAATGTTGTTGGTGAATCTGAAAGACAGCGGGCCAGTTTGTAAAGGAAAGTACCAAAGAACCACTAATCTGTTTGCCTTCATAAATCTCGAAGGCAAACAGAGGCCGAACTTTTGTTGTTTTGTTAACAAAACTTTTTTGTTGTTTTTCCTTCGTTTTATAAAAGAATTAAATGTTCTCATTTAGAAAGAATTCCCTTGTAGTTCTAGAAGTGATCACTGGAAGTAAGCTGAAGCCCAGTTTATTTTGACAAGGACAGACTTGATTAGAAGTTTGCAGATGACCTGTATCCAGTGGTAGGTTGTGGCTACCCTTTCGAAATTGTGATATGTGGGGATGTGGTAATTTGTGCCACAGCGTCATGAAAATACGGCGACATCGTTGCTTCCCGTCGTTTCAGAGTGTTTTCTGAGTGTGAGGTTGTGCCTATGTCCGTGAGGAATGGGTGCATTGGAAAAAATTTTCAAACACGGATATGTCTGAGGAAGCAAAACTATTGGACTAGTATTTTTCTATTTAGACTATTAAAGCTAGTAGGAATTATGACTATTATCATTGACTATTATGACTATTAGCAATGTGTTGGTTCTTCCCTGACAAGGTGACCAAGTCATTCAAACTCTCTCCTCAACAGAAACAAGGAATAAATGCATACTGAAATATAGTGATTCTGTTGTACTTGTGCTCACCCTGAAATAAGTGAGGAAGAGTTTGGGGATTTGTTAAACCAAGCAGTGCAGTTAGAATAACAAAATCTGTTATATATTGAAATAAGATTACATTTTTCCAAAACTTCAGGAGAACACTAAAGGTTTTTCTGGAATGTTTAGAGAACACACAATTTCATTTATAGTGATATGTTTTTCCTTTAAACAGAACTGCCTATAATACACTGTGGAAAAAGCAGTATTATTTAAGTGTAATTGCTATTATATATTTATGAGAATGTCCACATTAGAAAAATGGATATTGTCTTTTTGAAGAAAGACACAGAGTACAAAATTACTGAACAAAGAAGGATAATCCATCTAATTTATTTCCTGAGAATGTAACATACTGGCTGATTAACCTTATTGGCAGCTTTTTTCCCTTTCTGTTTGCAGGTTAGCTCTGGAAATGGAGCAAGTGACAGACAAAGCCTTTTTATTTGAGAGAATGTTGATTTTTTTCAGTGAAAAGCAGAATTAAACAGTGCAATGCTGTGTGTAAGGATGCATATATGTGGATGTGAATGTTGTGTCTATGTGTGTGCATTTGATATCTAAAATCTTTAATGAATTGTTTAGAAATTGTGTTCAGGGAGAGATGAAGGGAAAGGAGTAAGGAGGTGTTAAAAGAATGCATTGCAGACACTCAGTAAGGGATAGTCTATTTTGACAAAACACAGTTGCATTTCCAGAATGCTACTGTACTGGGACGCACAACTGGGATTTGTGTGTATGTGTTTTAAAAATAGAAAAAAATGTGAAGGCTTAAAGAAAGATGTGAGCAATGACCAGTCTAGCTAACTTGTATGGCTTTGCCACATTTTGCAGAGCAAACAGCTATTAAAATCTGAGCACGCAAAGCATGGAGTAGGTTTACTAATGACAAGCAGTGTCAGCAGACTATAATTAACATAGGGTGGTATAATTTATAAGGAATGTACTGTGCAGTTTAACACCAACGCAGAAAGAAGGGGAGGAGGGAAAGAATCTATTGTTAGTCTGCAAAATCAGAAGTGGCTTTTATCCTTAGATGTAAACATCTTATTTTTCAAATGCTCTTTACATTTTTTTTCAATACTAACAAAAGGCCTCTGTCATTTTGAGTTAATGCAGTGCCAAGCAAGAGTGAGTCATGAAGATGACCTCTGTCCTTATGCCACCGTATTAATCTGAAAGGGAAAGTCTCAGCAGACTGTTTTTACTGTACATAATTAAGCAATTCTGAATGCTCAGTGAAACTTGAATGGTATGGCATAGAGCCTGGTAATGACAGTTAATGAGATGAGACTTGCACTTATTCTGCCTCTATAATAAGTGAAAACTTGTGCCTTTGGATTGAGGGCAGGCATACCGAAGTATTCATTAGAAATGCTAAAACCACCAACAAGGCCACTGTTCTGTGCCTCTCTGTTTTATGACTTCCTTCAAGAAAGGAGAAACTAGATGAAATTATTTCTTAATTATACTTATTCAATATCTGTAATAAGCTGTGACATTTGCATTCGTGGTAGAGAAGGCTAAAAAGGAGACATTCAGGAAACTGCGAACAATACAGGGAGTGATTTATGCTGCCGTATCTTTCTTTCAGAGTCCAAAATATTCACAGAATGGCTGAAACGACATAATTAATTTCACTCTGTGTCTGTAATAAGAAGATAATATTACCTTGAAAAGACTTTTTCACCTTTTTCTCTGCTGCCTTTCCACGTTCATATAACGAATAATTTTGCCTTGTGCCTGCCTTCTACTGCCTTTGGTGCTTCTTCTGTATTTGCCCCATTATGATCTTTGCAGCTTTAATATAATAATGCATACGTATCTGTGCCTGTGTGTATATAGGGGTGTGTGTGTGTTTGGGCTTTCTAGTGAATGACACAACTTAGCTGATATTGAGAAAATGTATTATTTGTTTTTGAAGAAAGGTACAAATTAACGTTAATAAGCACAACTTCATTTGGATTGTGTATTTTCAAAAATGTGTTTTGCACAAAAATGATCACTGAAAAGAATGTTGTGAATGAGTCTCTGAATATGTATTGACATAGTCATTCCCTAGGGGTAGCTAGCTTGGTTATGTATATTTGGCAGCAATCACTGAAGTCCAGACACCTCCCCAGAGAAGTATGGTGACAAGACCACGTCTGCACCAGAAAATGTGATCAAGGCCTGAGCCCAAAGCTTTAACCCAGCAAGCCTACTGAAACATCGCTATTGTATTCAAATTAGGACTTTGGTCTCATTTTGAAGGTGGCAGCTGTGGCACTCACCTCGCTTCTCCACTCTGCTGTGGTCCCCTGGTGACTTGGGCTAACCTCTTTGATTTCTCTCTTAACCTATTTACGTCTCGCAGAGATTCAAACTCTCCCTTGCTCCACTTTGCTGGTCCTCCTTGAGCTAGAGGGATTTTGAGACATTCTATGGAGATTGTCGACTCCCAGGATCCTGACCCTAACTGCCCTAAAAAGGCAGTGGGTGAAGGTAGAACCTTAGACCCAGGTATATATGTGTTGCAGATGTACCGTATTGCTCAGTAATTCAATGCTAGTGACAAGAACAAAATGAATCTACTTCTCACTCTGCTGGATCACGTGAGCTGCTTGTTGTTGATTTTGATAAAGATGCAACGGCAAGCCACCTATTTCAGCTGCCTTGAGTTGTAGAGGGAGACCAGCTAATAGATGTCTTATAAGTTACACAGAGATTAGTCTTTACCGGACAGTCACTGAAGGATCAGTGGTTCATAAAAAAGACCAAAACCTGTTCCCTCATTGTCATTCACTCCGGAAGCAGGTATATATGAGCTTCTGATCTACGGAGAATTGTTGTTCTGTGTTTTTCCTACATTGGAGAGTATTTGGCAGAAATTTCAGGAACTGCATGTGCCCAAGTAGTAGTTTTTTTTATTCTGCCGTTTAGCAACTTTCAGAATTATTTGATTTCAGAATTTTGTTTTGCAGTCAATTTTTTTAGCCAAAAAAACCCATAAAACATGAGATTGTACTGTAGCCTTGGCAGAGGTTTTTAGCAGTTCAGATGTGATTTATTTTAGGGTATTTTGAGACCCTAGGCCTGAATCCAAAAACAGTGGAGTTAACACAGAATTCCTGATTATGGCAATAGAAGCTTTACCTGAGAAAGAGCTTCAGAGTTAGGGATGTTACTGTATTTGTTTTTTCACTGACACGAAGGATACACTTCAGGAGAGAGAAATGACC